TGGTCTGAAGTCGGTGTTTCATTCCAAGCCATCAACATTTATGATCTCCACCATACGTAGTCTGCAATTTCCCGTCGATATTTCCGCATCACATGGCTGAAATCCATTTCCCTCACTTATTAACGCCCATTTCCGTTTGGGTAAAAATCACACAACAATTGAGTGCACCGCAAGATATTGTGACAAGCCTATTTATTTTGGCACGAACGAGACTCTAGACAGTTTCGAAAGTTACGACGAAAGTGAATGGATATGAGAAGGCAATATGAAAAGCACTCAACAAACACAAGGCAAATTTACAAGCAAAAATAGTTCATGAAAAACTAGTTTTGAGATTTGAACGGTTCGCGTTATTCTCACATAAGTACCGGATGAAAGGAACGTTCGGTGGTTTTACAATATGCAAACTACATTGCATGAAGAAGTTGATGTCCAGTCAATCTGGATAACTGTGAGAACTATCCGTAGGGTTTCAGTTCACTTTATTTTCAGTTTTTACAACCTTAACCATGTCTTTTCGTGCGCACATTTGGGTTGCTGTCTTTTTGACTGCCCATTTGTGTAGAAGAATAAAGATTGGAATGTTGGGAGCAGAGTCAAAGGGAATGTAGAGAATTCATACTGACTGCAGTTGAAAGAATATTTAGTAGATGCGCCAAAGACACTGAGCCATATCGCGCCACCACTGGTTACCATGGTCTCGGGATCCCCATCCAGGGAGCCTAACGTTACCTATGTGACCCAATGTCCTGGTTAGGATTTTCATACTCCAAAGCCAGGTCTTAGTTTGACCACCCTTGACCTTTTTCCATTCGCTACTTGCCTCGCTCGTCGTGGAAACCTGTTTGGTGGGTCTACGAAAAGAGTGTCTGTGTTCTAAAGTTTGTGGAAGGGTGAAAATGTGGTCTATACAACCTCGACCAGGTCTAAAACCAGCCTGGTTCTCACGCGTACATCGTTCATGTGCGGCAGATAATCAACGGAGTATAACACCAGCGAGAAGTTTAGAGACTGTGTTGATTAAACTAATTTCGCTGTGGTTTTCACATGACAATCTGTCACCTTCCATGTAATTCGGTATGATGATCGATTCACCTTATTCGGTTGGAACCTGTTTCCTTCGCCCATACTGCTCTCAGGAATTGCGCCAAATCCAAGACCGAAGATAAACCTCCATCCTTAAAAACCGATCGAGATAGTCCGTCCGGGTCGGAGGGATTATACCTTCGGAGATGGCCGATATCAACTGGTCGTATTTGCCTAGTTGAGAAAGGTATAGGGAGGCTTTGTGTCAAGGGGGATTAGCTGAGGTGTCTTAAAATGTTCAGCCCATCGATCAAGACGGAGTTACTGATGATGAACCAGTGTACCGTCAGACTTCTTAAGTACCTTACTTACGTCTACCTTTCTTGGGCCCATACTCCTAATTAAACGAAAAAGATTGCGGCTATTACTGATAGCCGCAGCCTTCTACGTCTCTCCACACTTTTCCATCCACCACTTCTCGCGATCGTCCCTCTGACTCTTGATGAACTGATATTTAATGGATTTACGCGCTTTGTCTTATTTGGCATCAAGAAATGGCTTTGCGAGCATCCAGAGAGGTTGCCGAGGTTGAGGAGATCGATCTTTTCGGAGACACAGTATACATGTGAATTGAACGTTTCAATGGTTCTAGTTGGGGTTGCCTTTTGACCGATATGATAGTGTGCAGACATTAAATACGGCCAAGTGAAGAGGAGATTTGGGTTTCAAAATCTGTTAGCTTCTGGTTGGATGCCTTACTAGTTGAACGCTGAGTGATATCCCATGAGTGGTGCAGACAGGAGGAGGAAGAACTGAACAGATGAGAAAGAGGGTTTTCCAAATGGATACCTAAGACTTTGAGACACGACATACTTCGCGGTAGCCCAAACCGACGAAGGGTTTCTTGGGGAACCCTGACTGGAGCCTTTGATTCAAGTCTAACCTACAAGGCAGTGGGGTGTGGGGTAATCACACGGCACGGACAGATTGTCAAATGGATCAGGTTGCAAGCATTTCTGTCAGATTAAAATGCATATGGATATAAGAAAGCATTGCAGTGTTTCACGAAAAATAAAAACAGGAACATTTACCAGTAGGGCATTGATCCATCTACGAGCATCCACGGAGTCCAAACCACAAACAACAACATTAAACTGTCGATAAAAATCCTCTGAGAAGTCCTGGAGCTTTTTGAAATGAGGATTCACTTTACAAGACGGCACTCGCTGCATTATATAACGAGCAGCCACTTCGGCTTTGGGTTTACCCACATCATGAGGCCGGAATAGAAACTGGCGGTTAAGGTTGGACACATCAATTGTATCCATATCAATCACATCGATGTTCGTGAAACCCATCAGTGCCTGTATTGTGAGTGAATTAACAAATTGACAAAATACCAAATCTTTGAGAAGTTCACAACCGAGACCCCCAGCACCAACTATTAGAATTTTCACGTGTTCTTGCAGCATTTGTAGCAACTAAAGAAATTAACGGTAGAGTATCCTACTTACTTCATCTGAAGGCTGAAAATCGGGACGTTGGAAAGGACCAACTCGCTCTAATAAACAACGTAAACCTCTCCATCGATTAGTGCTCGTAGCAGAACACATATGCATGAATCAACGGAGCTGAGGAAAGTCAAAATGGTAAACTGTTATTCGCTTGAATTTTTGTGGTACAATAACTACTGTATACTGTATTGTATTTCACCCAAGTTTGAATCCAGACAAATAACAATACAATGGTCTTCATGCAAGAGAAAATTAACTTATCTTGGGATAAGTGAATTTTCTTAGGGAATTGACAACCAGAGCCTTTGACTGGTCAAGTATA